GTGCAGGACATCTAAATTTTGCATTTGTGGTGGTGCAACAACCTTGTCTCACAATTCAAGCTCCATCCTAAGGACACTGAAGATTTCCTTTAATCCTAGAAGATTCTACCTAGTTCTCCTGCTATTCTCCCATCTCTTCACTTTAGTCAGGAATAATAACTCTTAAAAAACCCCCGAACAAACCACAAACTCATACAAGAAACAGCCTACCACAAAACCAACCAAAAAAACCCCAACCATCCTTTATTTCATTATACTTTCTGTATTAGAAAGTCTTTTGCCAGCATCCCTTTACAAAACAATTTAAAATAATGAACAGTGCTCATGTGTGATTCCTTTGGAGAATGCCAACTTATACTTCGACTGATTCTTTTCATCACTTAACAGAAAATTTTAATCTTGGAGGTTTTTTAAAAACAAAACTATAATTTTCATTACTAAAAAACCTGGTACCAGCAAGAATGTTGTATTTCTCCATTTTAGGAGAGCGAGAAAAAAGCAAGCAATTTAACAGGTTCAGATTTTTTCCTGTATTGCATAAAAGAATTACAGAATAATAAGGTCCCAGTACTTACTTAGCCATGAGTTTTGCTATTCGATGACAGTCATTCTTGTCATAAAACCAAATACTGTAAATTGACACTAGAAAATAAGAATGAAAGTGTAAGGCAAAGAAATCAAATGCATAGGAAAAAAGTTAAAAAACCAAAGTGAATTAGATCTGCAACGTGAATTACCATCAATTTCCACTCAAATATTGTGTGTGACCAAGGACTATAAAATAATCAGAAATAGCACCTGTGCAAACACAAATATCTTTAGTTAGACAAAGAGCAAGAACTACAAAATGCTGATACTGGTTGTAAACAAAAGTGGCAAGAAAATGAAGTTTGAACCAGCAGATGCCATCTGCAGTTGCAGCCTCCTGTTTTGAATTGCTGACTTTACCATTTAAACTAGGTCAAAGAATATCCATTTTTTAAAAAAAAATAATTTTAAAATTTGTCAATTTCTGAAAATCAACAAAAATATTAGTTTGAATTACAGAATGACAGTTCACTCAGGGGCTCTCTGGAAGGTTCCCCATCCAGGAGGAAGCAGTACCAAAGCTCCAATCACACTGTCACAGTCATGGAGCAGCTTCAAAATAGACTCATAGTGACCCCTACTCTTTGAAGGTATCAAGGACAAAGCAATGAGGGCAAAGGGGTTCCAGCTCAGCAACACTCAGCCCCATTCTGGCTTTCAGAAGTAAAATTCCACTGCAAGTTGGCAGAGTTGGAGCCCGACTGCTGAGCTAAAGATACTCCATCAGAGGGAGAAACTTTGTCAGTAGTGCCATGTGCTGCTCCTTCCCCAGGAATCCCACTTCCAAGGGCCTCTCACCCACACACGAGCTCATCTCCTCATCGTCCCACAGTTGTGCCAACACCACAAAGCTGCAGAACTTTTTTCAGAATTGTATTGAATCCAACCCACAAACCAGATTATTTTAAATCTTAACTCACCTACAAAGTTTGTCAATGCACAGTGTGCAAGTACATTAAAGGCAACTAGACACTTTATATATGTTACCATTACAGTACTTTAATTTCTGGAAAAATGCTTTTAGCCTTGTAAAACTCACATTTACACTGCAGTTCATCCTGATATTATTATGAAGTTGAAATCATTGATTATAAAAATATAACTTAAAGTGAAGGAAAGGAATGTTTAAAAAAAAAACGCAACTTTTTCCAGCTGGATGAAGATTTTTATTTCAAAGTGAAATCCTTTTCTTTCTTTATTCACTTTTTTTCCTCCTTGAAATACTCAAAAGCCTCAAGACAGCCCACTCAAAATTATGTCAAGCCATGGCAAAGAGAGCAATTATTTGACAAACTTTTTCTCTAGATGTTCCAGTTATCCCAGGCTTACATCCTCAAAAACTCACATACACACCTCATTTCTAGAACAATATCATAAGACAAATTGAAATTGTTCTTTTTCTTTTACTCAATAACAACTGTATTCATTTGGGTGTTTGTTTCTTTAGAGGTTCCAGCTCAAGACAACAAAGCTTTTCAAGTCATAAACAAAGAAATCAATGTACAAAAGACATAAGCCAATACAAAAGCATTTCATACATGCTTATGCTTATAAGCCATACAAGCCAATGCTTATGAAATGCTTGTATTAAAATTTACAGTTTAATACAACTGGATTGTCTGCTGCAGAGAAACCTATAAAAATTTCCAGTTTTAGCTACTTCTTTAGTCATGCAACGTATTTTAGCACTGAAGAAAAGCTCTTTCCCTTCCCTGACTTCATTATCAGACCAACTGCCAAGAAGAGAAAGCTGCTTCAAAAGCATACTTGCTGAAGAAAGGAAGATAAGGAACCCATAATGATATCTTCATGGGACAAATGATACAGTCACACTCAATTCTGCCAGAAACAGGCCTACACAAGATCAGAAGTAGATCCAAATCTCCACTTGGTACTACTGGCAAGCAATTGTAGGGAGCCACTGCAGAACATTAACAATACTGCAAAGATGTAAAGCAGATCATGAACAAGCAAACTCGGGCACTAACGTACGTCCAACAAGCTGGAATGTTTACCTTCCTCTTTCCAAAAGAGAACTTGTGTACTACCAGTTCAGCTCCCTTGCCCCTGGAGTGTGTGTGTGTCCCAACTGCATTACTATATTTGATGTATTTCTTACATGCAGTTCCAGCTATGAACAGCCTTATATCAGAGTTGGTTCTTACCAGTTCTTTTTAAATATGTGATTTTTTTGCTACACCCAGCATAGACATTAGCTGAGCATCCACATGTCTAATGGCACCTTTCTCCTTGCAGTTCTTTCAAGAGTTTCACCCAACAGAAGCCACTGAATTAAGTGACTCATTTTCCCATCTAGTTAAACACTTTACATCCAGCTTTTCTACAGTGAATGCTGGGCAGTATCTTTAAAAATCAAGTAACAGCAGCTTGTAATCATCAGCAGCAATATCTTTCAGTAGGATTCACATTACACTTTGACACACCTGAAGTAATGAGTAACCCATACCACAGACAAATCGGGTTTCATAAAACTAAAACAACTCATCTGTTATCTTTATCTTTGTTCTTCTCTGACATATGTCATTTTTATTAGAAACACTGACCCACAAATATTTATCTAAACACATAACAAAACTCCTCTCCAAACTTGACTGGACCCCTTATTAAAACTTGATTGAAACTGCAATGGAAAACCAGAGAGATATTGAGAGAACAGAAGCATTGTGGAAGTCTTCTTGCTCAACCCTAACAGCTGGATGGTACTAAAAGGAAGGCCTTGGACTCTTCTCCATTGTTCTGCCACTGCTCCACGGGACAGTCAGGTCACTGTGCCACTGCTCTGAGATCTGAACTAAGAGTGGGAAGAGTCAAGTGCCACTGAGATGCAGAAGCCTCACTCTTTGGCAACATGAAATGAAGCTGAGTCCCAGAGCTGTAGTTTCACTTCAGCTCTCAGTTCAAGTAAGCAGAGAGGCAGTGTCACCACCCTCACATTGCCACAGCTTTGCCATTAACTTGTTCGACCCCAGTTCGCCCCCTCCCTGATGCCAGCTGGGTACATTTTAATAATGCTTTATGCATCAGCTTCACAAATGGGCCATCTGAGCACAAGAGAGAGGACAAAGAACAGGGGCACACAGTAAGGCAAAACTGTTCAAATGGAACTGTGCCCAGGGGAAGTGCACATGGACTCCTCAGCACTGCCAGTTTTGGAGATCCCGGACACTATCACTCTCTTCCCTTTGTTTAACCATTTGTGCAGATACAGCTTCAACTCATTCAAAGAGATGATTTGTTTAAAACTTCATTTAAGCAGCTGGAAGAGAAGACAGAAGAGAGAGAAAAGTTTTATTTTTACAGTTCCAATTTAGGTGTTGCCATACAATGAGGCAGAACAACTGCAAGTGGAGGATAATAACCCTTCAAACTCTGGAATGAAAGGACTCCTATTCTAAAACCCCATCTCCCATAAGGAAATGCACATATATGCATCACTTTACACTTCAAACACAGTTTAAGGCAAAATCACATAAAGCCATCTCTCTTAAAGCTTGTATTTCTTCTAGTTAGCTGAAGTACCACCTCTCCTCAGTCAGCTCTAGTATCTTCTCTGACATTCCTCATATTTATTTCCTCAGTGTAAGTATTACCCTGCCACACAGATTTATAAATCATTAGTTCCTTCCTTTCTTATTGTTTTGAGTGTCTTAGGCCATTTCACTAACACAGCTCACAGCACAATGCCACAAGCATTACCACTGGAGCAATTCCTCAGGTGGCCAACAGCATCTGAGATCAGGAACACTTTAACAAACTGCCATCTGACAGGATTGTATGGAATGAGAAGGATTGCTGCTCTGCAACACTGAACCGTGGCAGAAAGCCCTCCGTAGTTTGAGTGCCATCTTTCAGGTCAAACTACATATTTTTAGAAGTTCTTAACAGTTTTCAATCGTTCCTCTCCTCCTCCAGCTTGCATTGCTTCTTCTGCTCCAGAGATATGAAGAACAGGCTCCTTTCTTATCTCAGCCTAAAGCACTGGGTTAATGTGCTTGCTGGAGAGCCTGTCAGCCTCGGCAATCACAGAGATGTGTTACACTTAACGTGCTGCCAGCCGGGGACGCAGGTGATAAGGAGAGACTTTCCTTCCCACTTCTGAAACCAGTTAGGAGCTCTTTCAAAGACTTTTAATACAACTCATTTTGCTTTTTCTGTTCTGAATACAAATCGTTTTCATCAATAATACAAGCCCAGAAGACAGCACTTTGTAACTGAGTTTTCCACTTTAATGTATAAACCTCTCCAAAATCCACCATTTTTGTATTACTAACTCTTATCTTGGATAGGAATAAGAAGCAAGAAACCCCACCCCCCCCAAACAAAACCCCCACACCAGACAAGGACCACTTATTTTAATACCCAGGTTTTATGCTGAGCATCTGTCTTTTCAGCACCATGGAAATCAACCTGCCTGACCTCCCAAGTGAACTGACTTGGATTAGAAACTCTTTTAATCAAGACCAACACCAGCGATACAGAGGGAAAGTTATAAACGAGAAAGGCTCAGAAGAATTGTTCCTGCAGACTCTAACAGGTAAGTTGGCCATTCCTTAAAACTTTGCCTAATTTTCCTCTATGATTATGCAAACTATCAACTGTCAGCTCCAAATTCTCACATTATAGATTGAGTGGAAGTACTGAACTTTCAAACTGGACTGTTAGTACTGGCAGAACTGTATGCATTTTTTGAAACAGAGTTTGACATACTTTTCACAGAACACAGACAAGAGAAAACAAGCTTAGGTTCATTTAAAAAAAATAGGTCCATGGGATTCAGTGCTTCATGAACAAATACGCTGAATACTCTAAAGAATGTGCAGGTGTCCAGCAGGAGAGTTCAACAAGGATCAAATATACCCAGCAGACTAAGAAATAATAAATGGCATATTAAGTATAATCTAAAAATGTTTACCTTTTAAGAAGAATTCCAAATTTAAAATATGTTACAGTAAGTCAAACAACCTCTTTTTGATTTGTTCATTTCTTGCTTTGTTCACCTCTGGAGATATTTGTTTTCATTAATTCTTTATAACAATGAAAAGCAGAATACTTTTTTTCTATTTACTACTGTAAGTGGTATATTGTCTCACAGACTGTTAGTCACACCCTCTAACATTTTTGCTTTAGGGTCTGATGCCTCACAAGGAAGTGGTGTAAGCTTTGGGGCAGTGTTATAGCAAACTTTTAGGGTCCAGTGTTCTTTTGGGGCTGGAACCACATTGTGTAGACAGAATAATTTTGACAATAAAATTTCTGGAGTTGGGAAAGATTTCCCCGTTAACAGCTAAAATATGAGAAGGGTATGACTGGGTTGGGGGGAAACCTCACAGTGTAATGAATAACAAAGTGACCCAAACATCTTCCATTTTGCTCAGAGTACACATCAAAAGGTACTGTATCACTTGGTCTGTTCTCCTTCCAGAATGCCCATGAAAGTTCCCTTCATGCCCCACCCTGCAAAAACAGGAGGATCCCTCCAAGAGCCATGACAGATAACTCAGTAATTTCCAGTGAGAATAAAATAGCAATTAGCTAGTCTTGGTCTAAGTGGAAAAAGCATCTGTGCAACTGGATAAAGCACCTCATGTCTACAGCTTAATAAAACTAAGTTCTTACATGCAGCAAAGTAACAGTGTCATTGTATAGTAACAGTAGGTATTTGAAGAAATCAAACTACAAAAGAATGGTAAAACCCCACCAAAAATATTATGATCTAGCATGACAGGCAAATCATTCTTACAGCCTCCAGGCAAGCAAAAGCAATGGTTGTGTGCTGCTTGCAGAGTTCCTCACATAACTTGTGAGCAGCTCTGCACTTGCTGGAGTAACCCCACGTTACTGGGTATCCTCAGAACAGCTCTCGGGCCGTTTAAGACAGAAATGCCAGAGGTCTGATCTGGTGCCTGTAACACACTTGGCCCTTATTATCTTTTTAAGTCAAGACAGAATCCCAGAACAAAGTGAAAATGTGGAGTTTATAAAACAGTAGTATCACATTCAGTTACAAATACTGTTGAGACAGAATCTTCCCCAAATATGCGGTGACATAATTTTGCTTTGATCGTCTACCATGCCCTGATGAAGCGTAAACCTCTGTCACTGATCCTGTTACAACTGAACTCTACAGGTGCAAAACATGTTTCTCTGCCCAACAGCAGTATTAATAAACATGATTTTAGGTTTTTACCAAGTAGTTTGAACCATCCCCCATCTGTAAGCTAAGGAAACAGAATCAGCAGTTCAATCACTCAGCAATCTTAACAGGACGACTTATCCTTAAGAGTTTGAAATGATCCCAGTGCATTTCTTCAAGGATACAAAAAACTCCACTCTACAAGAAACAGGGCTGTTGCCAACACTGTGTAAGAGGCAGCTTTTCCTTACACAAGCCAGCAGTCCATCCTCTTTCAGTCATTAAGGATCTCAGCAGAACTTCACTTAGAGACACAGCACATTAAGCCCTCAGAGATACACATTACATTAACCACTGGCTTAACGCTCTGATTTGAATTAGTCCCAAAAATGCAAAGTTTTTCATGCCAGCAGGCAACTGAGCAAAAATGGACATCCTTCCACACGAAAAGAACCTGGATAAGAATCCCCTGATCTGCCCATACAAATAAAACGTGTACATGTTGGAATTTGTCTGCAACTTCAAACCAAGCCTGAAGGGGGTTTTAGTTTGGTCTTGTTTTTTAAAGTTTCACAAATGCTATGCTGATAGAGGCAAACAGCTTTAATACATTTCCATCGTATAAGTTGTTTTTTTCTAACTAATTCAGGGGATAGAGGCCAGAAAATTTGGAAAGTCTCATGTAAGAAAGAAAACCCAAACCACAACAACTAAATGCACAATGTAAGGGAGTTAGTGGGGTTGAAATCATAAATGAAAAAAAACTTAGATGCCATTTTCAATGCTTTTCAGCTTGTGTTTGAACAAAGTGAACACAAGCAGAGGACACAAAAACTCATCTGTTTATTTGTGGCACTTGGGAAAATAACCAATGACATACTAACTACATCGAACATTTGCAATTGGCAGTTGGTGGAGACAGGATGGAGTGATGAAAGAAAGGATAGTTTCTGACTAGAGTCTTTTAAAATGACAGTGGGAAAGAAATAAGAGGGAAAAATACTCTTGGTTATCTCAGAATGCAATTATTTCCCACATCTATAATTTTTCCTTGCTCACCTTTGCATAAATTCCTTCCTTCCTCAGACTCTTCTATGTCATCTCTATCCTAAGTCCCACGAGCCTCCCACACATCTTACAAACCAATGTCCCACAGGAAAATGAGAGCTTTTATCAATGAAAGGAAAACAAGCAGCTTTGGGGTTTCTACTGAACTCACAGCCTATACCTTCTCTGATTACAACTACCTGAAAGAAGGCTATAGCAAGACAGGGGTTGGTCTCTTCTCCCAAGAAGCAAACAGTAGGACAAGAGAAACCAACCTCAAGCTGTGCCAGAGAGATTTAGATTGGATATAAAGAAAAATTTCTTCATGGAAGGGGTAGTCAAGCACTGGAACAGGCTGCCCAGGGAAGCAGTGGAGTAGCCATCCCTGGAGGGATTTAAAAGCTGTGCAGCTGTGGTGCTTAAGGGTGTGGGTTAGTGGTGGACCTGGCATTGCTGGGATAACAGTTGGGCTTGATCTTAAAGGTCTTTTCCAACCTAAACAATTCAATGATTCCATCCTCAAAGTGATCCTTTAGTCACTCCCACTGGTGTACACCTGGTAATTCCACAGCAGCTCCTGATACCATCAGCAGCTTCAACAAACAAACGAATCCACTCCTTGCTTCCCATGTCACCAATTTCACAGCTGCGATTCTGAAATGACACCTTTGCACCATGAGAACCCTCTGCTCTATGGGGTGACTTCTATTTATCAACTTAACCTCATGTAAAGTTCATTTACCCACATAGTCCCTCCTCCTCTTTGTAAGGGCTGCATAATTTACACTTTGAGCTCTTTGGAGCACCAGCACTTTCAGTGTGTACCCAACTGGAACGTACTACACTGAGACTGAGGCTCAACTGATGACACAAAAAACTGCTAGAATTCAAAATGCAGCAAGAAGATCCCAAGTACTATTTCACCACTCATCTGTACCCAAACTTGCTGGAGTCTAAACTGCAGGAAATTTAGAATAGACAACTATCTGCTGAGTCCAAAGCCTATTGTGGAGAAAGAAACCTTCAACCCAGAGCTGAGCAATTTTCTCCACTTCTTCTAGAAGCTAATGATTAATATTTTTTTTTTTTTTTGCTTGCAAGAGGAAGTTCTTAGATCTGTCCTTGCTGTTAAATACTTTCAAAATCTATCAATCTTCATTATTCTTTCTGAGTTTTTATTAATCCTATAGCACTGTGTATATGTTTAGATTACACCTATCAGATTGTTACTTTAAAAGAATATAGCAATATTGCACTTTGACAGTGCAATTGACTCTTTTTATTGAAAGCAGGTGATGATCATAATATAATAGCACAGCTATTTAAGTAAATTTAGCCCAGCAGACAGAAAACATCACCAGACATTTCACTGGAACCTGCCCCATTACATTATACTTGAAAGAGATATCACAGTAATCAGAAGTGATCAAGGTTATAAAACAGAATCTCAAGTTTATATGGTTTAGAGAAAGTTGTACTCACAGCTGGCATTTCTGTAGAGAAGAAAAGGTTCATGGAGCTGAAACTCCAAATCTTTATTTACTGGCTCAACCAGGTTGTGCATGTTCAGTCGATTCACTATCGTAAAACCATGATAAGGAGAAGCTGACCTTGTTTCAATTAAAACAAAACCAAGAATTAATATCTCCATTGACATAAATAATTTTCTGAAACTGAGTTATGAATTAATCTTCAAATCTCCATTGCTTTATTAGGTGGAGCTTTAGCAGTCCTGAAGCTATCACAGTTTTTCTTCTATGCCATTTCTTGGCTGCCACCTAATTTCAATTTCAAACTACACTCTCCTCAAAGCAGGATTAGGATTAGCATTACAGTTCTACACTGTTAAACTGCTGAATCAAAGATATGCCTCTAAAAAAACCCAATTCAAAAAAACCCTATTCAAAAAAACTAGGGCAGGTCCAGCATTAAAATTCAAGTGTATTCAATACTTGACATGAGACAGTTTTGAGGCATTTTAGAATTCTTTTATTAAAGGAGGAAAACCCAAACCACTTACACAGCATCATTTCCCTTACTGTAAATAGACATGACAATAAAAAAGGGCTGCTCTCTTAAACAGCATGAAATGCACTTCTGGGGGAATCATAAGCAGTAATTTCTTCCTAAAGTGAAACTCTGAAAATAAAGAGTTACCCCAGTGTCCTCAAAGTACATATTAAATTATTCAGAATTATACTGCTTAGTGAAACTATTTTTATTATCTAGATATTTGCTGGACACCAGGTTCAAAAACACCGAGCAAGCACTGGAAGTTCAAGATAGTTTTAGATGTGTTTTCTCTTGCTGCATAAATGTCATGTCAGCACTCAGCTGTGCCTGTGAGCA